GGGCAGGGGCAGGGCAGGGCAGGGCAGGGGCAGGGCAGGGCAGGGGCAGGGGCAGGGCAGGGCAGGGCAGCGGCCGGGCGGTACTGAGGCCCTTACCAGGAGGAAGCAGGGGCTGACCAGCTTCCAGCACAGCCTCCAATACAGGTTGGGCCTCTGCCCGGTCATCTGCTTGATGTCCTCACTGAACTGCTGCACACCTGCGGGGCAGGGCGGAGGGCTGACCACAGCCGTGTCCCTGAGCACTGGACGACACCAGGTTCCTCGCAGGCCCCGCCCGACGGGCCCCACGCTCTGGCCTTGCTGGCCTCGGGGCCCTGAGCTGTTGGCCCTCGCAAGGCTCTGGAGGCCGGCAAAGCCTCCCGCCCAGCCTGGCCTCCCTTCCTCCCTCTGCACGTGGTCTTTCTACCACTGGGAAAAAAGGTCACATGCACGTACCATAAAAGGGACCCGTTCCGTGGCATTAAGTACATTCCCACTGCAGTGTGCCCACCAGGCCCACCTCCAGAATGTTCTCATTGTTCCAAACAGAAACTCTGTCCCAGTTCCACACCAGCTTCCAGGCCCAGCCCTGAGCCCCCGTCCACAGTCCACCTCGGGGGACGCGGGCCTCCTGGGACCCGGGGTGGCTGTGTGCAGACTGGCTGACGTTGGTGAGCAAACGTCCTTCAGCTCCTTGCAAGGTGGAGCAGAATTTCTTCCCCTTTTAAGACTGAATAACACCCTGTTACTGCACACAGCCGTTTTCCTGTGGGAAGATATTTCTAGAAATGTAATAGGTGGTATCTCCTCACTGGAAGGACCAGCAGAACACTTTGGCAGTGTTTCTTTCGTGGTATTCTTGGACTCTCGGGAACTGAGAAGCAGGTCTTGGCATTGCTCTCTCTCCCCCAGACCCAGCCCGGCTCTGACTCTGGGCGGGGTGCTGGCCCGCTCCAGGTGACCATTGCTGGCCTCACAGTCCCATCAGAAAGACGGCTCCGCTCACAGTGCTCCCTCCACCCCCTCCCATCCTCAGAATGCAGGGGACCATGGCTGGCAGGTGCCAATGGCCAGTCCCACCGTCTGATTCATGGTCTGGGCCAGGACGTGGGCTGGCCGGGGTGTGGGCAGGGAGGGTCTCGGAAGGACTGATGGTCCAGCCTCCTTTGCTGAAGATCTCTACACAGAACCCAGCTGAAGCCCCCAAAGCCCTTGCTGCAGGAGCACCTGGATACCAGAACGGGGCACCTCCCTTCTGTCAGGGCACACTGACCCCCAAAACTCTGCTCTCCCACACCCACCAAGATGGCCACATGGCACCAGCAATCTGAGCACATGGGCTGCAGTCGGCGCGGCAGGTCAGGTTCTGAGATGCACAAGAGCCCCAACGCCGGCCTCCGGGCCTAGAGCGCCTCTTTCTATGGCAGCCTGGCTGGTCCCCCGCCTCGGCCTTACCGTAGAACCAGGCCACCCCAATGGCCTCGATGAGGACACCGAAGAGGATGGACGTGCCAGCGGCAAAGTGGTCCAGCAGCGTGAAGACGTAGATGCCCCCCTGGAAGAGAGGGGGCGGCTGACCAGGACCCAGCGCGGAGGGGGCCGCGGGGAGGCTCCCCGCAGACGTGCGTTTCTTACAGCCATATGCTCCTTGCTTCCCATGAAGCCAGTCCGAGTCACTCAATCCCAGTCCGACCCGTTTGGCTGGACACTGTCCATCACAGTGACAGACACATTTCCTCTCCTGTCCTCTCCCTGGCTCCAGACGCACAAAGACAGGTGCATGGCGGCTTTGTGCACCCCAGCAGGCCCGGCCCCTCACCCCAGGGAGGCAGCGTTGGCAAAGGACCCTGACCACACTGGCCGGCACCGAGGCACCGGGATGAGAGCGGAACTGTACGTACGTTGGTGACACAGAGCGGGAACTGTACGTACGTTGGTGACACAGAGGAGGGACAGCAGGAAGGTAGCCAGGACGATGCCGAGTGTGAAGACCTCCCGGTGTCGGTGCAGCAGCTGGAACTCATCAATGAGCCCGGTGATCACCGACTCCATGCCGCCCATCTGAGGAGGAGCACACAGTTCCCCTGGAGACCCGGCCCTCGGGGAGCGGCCCTGCAGGGCCACCCCGGTCACAGCGAACCCATGGGGCAGGGGCGGTGCTGCACGGCCAAAACGGCTCCCAGGCTCTGTCCAGCTGTGCCCGGCCTCCCCAAGCACCAAGGGCCACAGGCAGCCAATCATCGTGATGTGCCCTGTTCCCAGCACCCCGGACGCCACCCAGGCAGCCGTGAAGCCGATGTGCAGCCCGTACCCTGCGAGAACTGCTTGGGGGAAGCAGGGCTGTGGCCACGTGGGAGGTGATGTCTGTGGAGACAGAGGCTCTGGCTGAGGCTCTCTGGAAAGCAAGTCTTGAGCCCCATGGTGGTGGGCAGATGGCACGTGGCAGCCCAGGCACCCAGCCTGCCCCGTGCCCGGGGCTCATAGTGTGGGAAGGAGGAGCCCGAGCTGTGCAGTGGGACGCCAGGAGCAGATGCCAGGCACTTCAGGCAGAATGGCCGGGCCACCCGCAGACAGGAAGGTCCTGCTGCCCCACCTTGGCTGCACCGTGGCCCCAGCCCCGCCTCTGGCTGCTGGCTCTGCCGTGCCGAGGAGCCGCCCACCCCCGCCCAGAGGAGCCGCCGGGTGTGCTAGAGCCCCACGGGCAGCTCTGTGCCCAGCACCTAAGACTGGGGATCATTTGGGGTGTTCTGACGTGTGCCAGGGCAGCCTGTGCAGGGGCAGGCGGGCGTGGGCACTGCTGCCCACGGGGCCAGTGGGGCCGCCCAGGGCCCCGGCCACTTACAGCGCTGTCAATGCCCAGCGTGAGCAGCATGATGAAGAAGACCACGGCCCAGGCGGAGGAGAGCGGGAGCGTGGCGATGGCCTCGGGGTAGATGATGAAGATCAGGCCGGGCCCTGCGGTCAGAAGCGGAGGGTGGCCGTGGGCCTGGTTCTCACGTCCACCGCCCAGTGCCCGCGGCTGCACAGCTGTCCAGCACTGCCACTGGCCAGCTGACCAGACTCTCCCGGGAGTCCTCCTTCGGTGGGTTTAGTGATCACCTGGCCCAGGACTGTCGAAAACCCATCAGTGGGTGCCAATCACCCCCAGCCTGGGTCCCCATCAGGCTGAGAAGAGCAGAGACCAAAACAGGAAACAGAGTCCCCAGGAATAGGCCCAGGCCTTTGTCTGTCCTGTGCTATGACACCCACATGCGCACAGCACGAAACACACATGCACACACAAGTCTATGACACACAAACACTACCACCAAACACACATGCACACACAAATCCTATGACACACACACCCCATCACCAAACA